CGTCGTGATCATCGTCGCGTCGTCGATTCCCCCCAGAGCCCACTTCCCCTAAGGCAACAATCGTCGCGTTCCGCGCTCCGCGAAGCGCGATCATCTTAGGGGACTCGCGCCTCACAAGGAAGTCGCCCACTAAATTCGCATACTCGTGGTTGCCTTGGCCGAACGCTTCGGCGGCGAGTGAGGGGGGAGTGAGAAGGAGAAGGCCTTCTCAGAAGGCGGCGGGACTTCTCAGAAGCCCTCGCGCCTTCTGAGAAGACTCCTAGAGGAAAAAGAACTATGCACATACACCGATTCTGGCCAGGCCCATCCTGAGCCCAGGATCGGTGCATACGCCCTCCTACCTTGGCCAGGAAGGCATATGCACCGATCCTGGGTCAAAGATGGGCCTTGCCAGGATCGGTGCACGTGCATAGTTCTCTTCGCCCGAACTCCTGCGCCTTCGGAGAAGGCCCAGAAAACGTCTCGGAAGGCCGTGGGACTGCCAAGCCTTCTGAGACGGCCCGCCCCCTCTCACTCCCCCCCTCACTCGCCGCCGAACGCTGCCCCGGACCTGCCCCCTGCGGCGCATCGGGGCTCTTCTGACCCGGGTCAATCCAGACCCGGGTCAGTCAGGCCTTGCAGCATCCTGCAAGATCCTACACCCAGACCCGGGTCAATGCGAAGGGTTCTGCAACATCCTGCAGGATCCTGCGCCCGAGCCCAGGCCCAGTGCGACGCTGGCCCTGCAGGATTCTGCAAGATCGGGCGCTCTGGCTGACCCCCGTTTGCACTGACCCCCGTCTCCAGGCTCTCGAGCACATCCCATGCTCCTCTGACCGGCCCTCTCCTCCTCCCTGCTCGGCGGCGCGCCGCGGCGGGGGAGCGAGCGGGGCCTTGCAGGAGCCCCCCCCCGGCTTCTCAGAAGGCTCAGAGCAGGAGAAGCCCTGGGGCACACATGGACACATGGACACATGCCCCGGGAACCTCCACACAATTCCACATCTTCTGGGGCGCCGTCGTCCCCGCACACTTCCCATACTTCCCCACGTCTCCCTGGCCCCACTTCTTCCGGCGACTACTTGTGCCTATGCTTGTTCCCCCCCCCATCTTCCTCCTCCTGCTCCTCCCCCTCCCCCTCCCCCTCCTCCTCCTCCTCCTCCTCCTCCTCCTCCTCCTCCTCCTCCTCTGTTCCTCCTCCTCCTCTGTTCCTCCTCCTCCTCCTGCTCTTCAATCGGCATTAGGGGCTCAGGCACTGTGAGCTGCGACGGAGTGCGGATTTCCACTGACCTCACTCACACGACTCCCGCCCCATACATTCTCCAATCTTGCTCAGGCGAGAGGGGATATGGGGGGGAGGAGGAACGGAGAGAGGAACAAATCCTTGCAGCCACTTATGTACCGCACTTTTTGCGACCCCTTCTCGCGTAACAGGGTCGTAATCTGGTGACGGAATGCTCATGTGCCGCAAGTTTCCAAATGTCTCTGGAGGGTTGGAATGTGTGACTTCGAAGAAAACGACAAGCCGAAGACGCTGAGAACGGATCCGCCGTACCCATGCTCGGAAATGCCTGATTGCCAGGATTGTCATTTGCGAACAATTGGTTCATCAAGTGCCGTCGCTGGACAGCAGTTACCAAAGGGAAGATGGAGGCTCCGGGATTCGGAGGCAACCGGAGGGTGCTGAGCCTCAGTGGAGGGTGAGGGGGGGGAAGGCGTCTCGGAGTGCAGGAGCTCTGGCTCACACATGAAGGAGGGCTCAGGGCCCCCCCCTACTCGGGAACCCTGTTCGCCAGCGCGTCCCCCAGAGCGGGCACGCGAAAAGGCCAGCAGCAGTTCCCCTCGCACTGACCCGTAGGGACTCGTCTGAATCAGCGAGCCTCTCTTACGGGGCCACCTCGGAGCTCGCCCCCTTGAGCTTCGGGGTATGCCCCCTGCTTGCCCCACGAGACGTCTGCGGCATAATCTAATCGCAAGGGAATTTGCTAGTCGCACGCGCACCTCCTTCGTAGGTGTTGACGTTGACCCCCTTTTACGCGGATGACCTGACCTGACCTCCTGCTCCTGCTCCTCCTCCTCCTCCTCCTCCTCAGGCAGATCGCCTCTGGAGCCCCCTGTGTCTGAGGGGCAACGATCGAGGGGGGAGTGGCCTAGCGGGGAGACATCGACCCTGAATCGGCGATACATCGCCGATAGGTCTGTGTCACGGTCAACCCGTATCAGAAGGATGCGCGAGAAGGATGCAAGGGCCTTGGAAGGCCGCTTCGACACTTTGCGAGCGGGGCGCGGCCAGCGAAAGCGGCCAAGGATGGACCGAGGAGGCAAGGATGCGAGGGGTACACTTGGGAGCATTGCCCATCCTTACTATGCGGGTTGACTGTAACCCTCCGATAGCGAATCCGCGCGTTCCTGGGCGGTGTGGGGCTCTCAGAGCCACATCGGCGATCAATGGGCCATTGGGATCGATGCCTCCCCCCAGATGTCCATCCCCCCCTGTCGTTGCCCCTGATCCTCGTCTGCCATACTTGCGACCGTCTCCAGCGCAGCGGTCATCCTGAGGAGGCGCGTGCGACCCCCCCATCCCCCTCCCCCCTCTGCGCTCCTCGTCCTGCTCCTCGTCCTGTCACGAGGCCTGGCCCTGATTCTTGTTGGCAGCGCGCACAAGGAGGAGGAAGAGGAAGACAGGAGGAGGAGGAGGAGGAGGAGGAGGAGGAGGAGGAAGACAGGAGGAGGAGGAGGAGGAGGAGGAGGAGGAGGAGGAAGAGGAGGAGGAGGAGGAGGAGGAGGAGGAGGAGGAGGAGGAGGAGGAGGAGGAGGGACAATCGGACCTAGGACAGAAGCACATCCCCCAAGAATATGGGACCCTCTGCCGGCCAGCACACACACACAGAGACCGTCCAAAGGTACCCTGCCCCAGGATGCACAAGAACATCCAACAACCACAAATAACACCAGGGTCCTCCCCCTTCACCCTTCCTCCTCCTACTCCCTTCCGCCTCCTCCTCCTCCTCCTCCTCATCCTCCTCGTGCCCCCCCCCTCGTGTTGTCTTTCGTCATCTTCAGGGTCGGCGGCAACGGCCGTAAGGCCTTCGCAATAACACTAGGGTTCCCTCCCCGAACCGACCTCGATCTATGTCTCGGTCCGCCTGGAGTCGACGTTACATCGGCGCCGCATCGGTGCTAACTCTTACCAAGTACCAGAGACGAAGCTACGCAAGTATGCACGGCTCCCAAAGTCTCTTGACCAAGCATCGCCTCCTCTGGGAAAACCAACAGGAACTGAGATACCGCTACTCTCTGGACCTCTCCCTGAGTGTGTTCTGACCAGAATCTCGAGGCGAATCCAGCGGTGGCGACGAGGGCCGCCAAAGAAGAACCACACAAGGACCATGTCGACCCACGAACCTGGAAAGGGATTCAGAACTGCAAGGCATGGAATCGTTTCTAAGGACCTCACTTGAATATGCAATTGGGCGATGCCAGGGGGACATGCCAGGGGGACGCGCCGCGGAACGTCCCAAGGGACGCGCCGGGAGACGTGCCAAGTGTGACGTGCCATGGGGACGCACCGCGGGACGTGCCAAAGAAACGCGCCACGGAACGTGCAAATGGACGTGCTACGGGACGTGCCAGGGGACGCGCCGCGCGACGTGCCAGGGGACTCACCACGGGACGCGTAATGGAACGTGCCAGGGAACGTGCTAAATTGCGCTGCGTCCGCGCTCCCAGGACCACGATCCCTTGCAAATTACTTTGCGTCCGCTCTCCCAGGGCCAGGATCCTTGGTAAACTACACTGCGTCCGCGTTCCCAAGGCCGCGCTCCCTTGTGAATTACGGTGCGTCCGCGCTCCCAAGACCAGGATCCCCAGTCAATTATGCTGCGTCCGCGCTCCCAGAGCCGCGGTCCATCGTAGATTACGCCGCGTTCGCGCTCCCAGGGCCACGATCCCTTGTAAATTATGCGCGTCAGCCCCCCCTGGGCCACTATCCCTCGTAAATGACGCTGCGTCCCTGGGCCACTATGCTCGTCAGCCCCCCCTGGGCCACTGAGGAGGAGGAGGAGGAGGAGGAGGAGGAGGAGGAGGAGGAGGAGGAGGAGGAGGAGGAGGAGGAGGAGGGGCCGCGCTCCCTCGTCAGTTACGATCTGTCCGCGCTCCCAGGGCCACGATTCCGAGGAAGTTACGCTGCGTTCGGGCTGCCACCTGCGCATCCTGGGGCGCCCGTGCAGGACGCGCCTTCCTCGCGCGGGCACGCCACAAGTCCATTTTCCATATCTCAGGTCAGAACGTTTAGGGTCTCCATACCTGGTGTTTTCTCGTGGATTCTGCGCAAAACGCTCCGCACTCGGTTGTTAAACAAGGGGAACACGTGCGCCTGCGGACCCCGCTATTTATCGAGCTGGAAAACACGAAGGAGGGTACCGGTATGGGTACCCCGAGTTCCTCAGTAAGCGTCGGGGGGGCGTCACCCCCGCCGACAGCCCCACATCGACCCCCGTCGCGGGCAGCCACCACGCGCCGAAGGCGCTCCGACCCCCGTCGCGGCGCGACGACGAGGCGAGGTTGACCCCCGTCGGGGGGGGGGGGCACCCCCACGCTTATGAAGAAACCCAGAGTGCCCTTTCTGGCCCTCGCTCGGACGTCTATTTCGGGTGCCTTTTTCGATGTCGTGCGTGTTTTTTTGTCCGCCGAATGATCGAGGATGCCCCTCGATGGTCCTCGCCGAGAGAAGAATGCACACGCCCGAGCGATGCCAAGCTTTCCTCCTCCGAGGTTCTCTGGGCTGGCCCTCGCCTCCTTCGGGTCGGGCGAAAGGGGGGGATAGCAAAAGGGGGGTTTGAGAACCAGCTCACGTAGCTGATTTTCCCGGCGCCTCCCGGCGCCGGGAGGCGCCCATGTATCGAAGAATGGGCCCCTCGGTGAGGCCGAACCCAGCTGCATGCAGCAAATTTCGTAACCCCCCCTTTCCCAATCCCCCCCTTTCGCCCGGCCCGACTCCTCCGAGCGGGGCCGAGGGGCACGGCCTGTCCAGCGCGCCCGGGGCGTCTCCGCCGCCAGGCCGCCGGGCCTCCTCGGACGGGGCCTCGGCCTCGGCGCCCAGCGGCGGGCCGTCGTCCTGCGTAAGGGGGGGGAGGGCCCCAAAAAGATCAAGGCTTCACATTGAAGTCAAACCTTGATGTGAAGCCTTGTGTTTTTTCACCCAGGGACCTCCATTTTAGTCCTCCCAGCGCCAGGGCGCTCGAAATCTGCGTCCCTGGGAGGCGGTGGGCGCGCAGATGGGGGAGAGCTCAGGGCCGCTGGGGGCAGGATTGTGATGCCGAAATCCACCTAGTGGGCGTTCTTTTATTCGGCGTTTCGACATTGGGCGGGGGGGGGGAGCAGGGGGGGTGGGGGTCTGGCTCCGGACCTCTGCTTGGCGCGACGGTTTGGGACCGTGCGTCCTCTGGGGGTGAGGCTCCACCCGCTCGGAGCGGGTGGCAAAAACAGCCATGATCTACTCCACGGGGAGAGGGGGAGGGGGGTCGCAAGGGCCCGCGCCGATCGGCAAAACAATGACAGATAAAACGATCACCTATGATCCGAGTTGGGGATCAACTGCAAAAATGATGTACTCAACATGACCGACCCGCGAACCTGGAAAGGGATTGAGAACTGCGAGGCATGGAACCGTTTCTGAGGACCTCAACTGCATACGCAACTGGGCGATGCCAGGGGGGGCATGCCAGGGGGACACGCGCCGCGGAACGTCCGAAGGGACGCGCCAGGGGACGTGCCAGGTGTGACGTGCCATGGGGACGCACCGCGGGACGTGCCACGGGGACGCGCTACGGAACGTGCCAGTGGACGTGCCACGGAACGTGCCAGGGGACGCGCCGCGCGACGTGCCAGGGGCACGCGCCACGGGACGCGCTACGGAACGTGCCAGGGAACGTGCCAGGCGACGCGCCAGGGGGCGTGCCAAGGAACGCGTCAGGGAGCGTGCCACGGGACGCGGCGCGGGACGCGGCGCGGATCACCCGGAGCCTCCCAGGATCTCCGCGCCCCTGTATTCTTCGAGATGTCAGGGGCCAGGCGATCCCTCGCAAAGTTCGCTGCGTCCGCGCTCCCTGGAGGGGCCGCACTCCCAGCGCCACGATCGCTAGTAGGTGCTGCGTCCGCTACCCCGAGGCCACGATCCCTTAAACATTACGCTGTGCCCGCGCTCCCGGTGCCACGACCCCATCGTAAATCACGCAGGACTCGCGTTCGATCCCTGTTAAAGTATGCAGGTATGCCGAAGGTATGCCGAAGGTACTCTGGTGTACGTCGGACAGACTCGTTGAAGGTACGCCGAAGGCACGCGGTCTCTGTATTGTTTTGAAACTAGAAACGTTACTGACAGTACGCCGAATGTACGACGAAGATATGCGTGTCCAAATCAGCGAAGGTACGCTGAAGGTAACCACGCCGAAGGTTCGGCGGCGAGCCAGGGAGGAAAGCGAGAAGGAGAAGACCTTCTCAGAAGGCTCGGAAGCCCCCGGGCCTTCTGAGAAGTGTTCTGCGCCCTTCCCGACGACGCACATCAACTTCTCAGAAGCCGCGAGGGCTTCTGAGAAGCCCCCCCCGCCTTCTGAGAGCCCCTTCGCCTGCTCGCTCCCCCCCCCCCCCTCGCTCGCCGCCGAAGGGGGGGGAGGGGGGGGGGAGGGGGAGGGGGAGGAGGAGGGAGGAGAGGAGAGGAGGAGGAGGAGGAGGAGGAGGAGGAGGAGAGGAGGAGGAGGAGGAGGAGGAGGAGGAGGAGGCGGAGGAGGAGGAGGAGGAGGCGGAGGAGGAGGAGCGAGCGGGGGGCAGGGCGAGGACGGACCCCCACTGCCCCCGCCCCCGCAGACCACCGCTCCCCCAGACCCCCGGCGGGCCCAGACGAAGGGGCCCTGGGACACACAAATCAATACACACAAACAAAAGGATTCCCCATATTTTCCCATGTTTTCTGGACGTTTGTCTTCCCCCCCGCGTCCCATCTCTTCCCATAGTTTCGGGGGAATCGACGATTCATTGTGTCTGTGTGTTTCTTTCCCTCCTGACCAGAGGGGGGCCACACGCGACGAAGCCAGAAACGAACGCATCACGGCGGGGCCGTCCTCCCAGGCAAGTCCCCTCGTCTGCTCAACAGGATCGGCCCACGAAGCCGATCAGGGAAGAACTGCGAGGCATGGAACCGCTTCTCAGGACCTCAGTTGCATATGCATTTGGGCGATGCCACGGGGGGCATGCCAGGGGGACCCGCCGCGGAACGTCCCAAGGGGCGCGCGACGGGACGTGCCTGGGGACATGCCATCGGGACGCACTGCGGGACGTGCCAAAGAAACGCGCTACGGAACGTGCCAATGGACGTGCCAGGGGACGCGCCGCGCGACGTGCCAAGGGGACTCGCCACGGGACGCTCCACAGAACGTGCCAGGCGACGCGCCGGGGAACGTGCAAGAGAACGCGTCAGGGAACTTGCCACGGGACGTCCCTGACCCAGGGCCCAGGCCCCTCGTAAATGACACTGCGTCCGCGCTCCCAGGGCCACCATCCCTTGCACATTACCGCTGCGTCCGCGCTCCCGGGGCCAGGAACCCTCGTAAGCTACGCTGCGTCCGCTCTCCCTGGGCCACGATCTCTCGCAAACTGCGCTGCGTCCGCGCGCCCAAGGCCGCAGCCCCTGGTGACTCATGATGCGTCCGCGCTCCCAGGAGCCACCACGTCCCCAGGCAAATCACGCTGCGTCCGCACTCCCAGGGCCACGATCCCTCGTGAGTGGCCCTGCGCCCGCGCTCCCCAAGCCACGATCCCTCGTAAACTACACTGCGTCCGCGCTCCCAAAGCCACGATCCCTTGTAAGCGAAGCTGCGTCCGCGCTCCTAGGGCCGCGCTCCCTCGTAAACTACGCTGCGTCCGCACCCCCTATGGCCCCCTGGGGCATCCTTGGGCGTCCAGCTTCCTGGAAGTCTCCGAAACTCGCTCGAGACGTCCTTAAGAAATTCTGCTAGTGAGCGTTTCGTTCGAGACATCCGCAACAAGCGAACACGCTCAGTTTACTCTGTATTGTATCGGTCGGAATGCCAAACACAATTGACAGGGGGACATGCCAAGAGGACGCTCTGCGGAACGTCCCAAGGGTCGCGCCAGGGGACGTGCCAAGTGACGTGCCATGGGGATGCACCGCGGGACGTGCCAAAAGAACGCGCTACGGAACGTGCCAATGGACGTGCCACGGGACACGCCAAGGGACGCGTCGCGCGACGTGCCTGGGGGATTCGCCACGGGACGCGCCACGGAACGTGCCAAATTGCAATGCTGAATGTATCGATCTTGATGTACCGTGCCGAAGGCTGTGATGTGCTGCGCCGCGATTTTGCTATGTTGCGATTGTGCTCTATAGCGTTGTGGATCGAGTTCTCCTTTGCTGACCGAACTGATCTGGATCTTAGGCTCGAGCTGCCTGAGGTAGCTGCCCCGATGATAATTGCACCTGGACGCGTGAAAACAAGCGTCTCGCACGAGACATCCTTAACAAATCCTCATGCTAGACATCTGCCTGGGCAACTTTGAGGCGTGAAACCAAGCGTCTCGCTCGAGACATCCTCAACACCTGGGCCGGTGAAAACAAGCATTTCACTTGAGAGATCCTCTGAATTCTGGTCCCCGGGAGAGGACAATCTATAACACAAAACAAGCGTTTCGCTCGAGACATCCTCAACCACTTCTGCAGAACAAGCGTTTCGCTCGGGACATCCTCAACTTTTGATTCGCCGGTCCTACTCGACCATGTTATTTATCGCAAATAAAGTCGCCCGCCCTACAGCCGTCGAGGCAGGGGGGAAACAACTAAAAAATAACCATGGGCCTACGCCCTTTATGAGAAAAATCAAGCGCTTGACCCGAAGCCGCGAATCCCCGTAAATTACACTGCGTCCGCGCGCCCAAGGCCGAGATCCCTTGTAACTTATGCAGGATTCGCACTCTCACGGCCCGTCTCTCGTGAATTACGCTGGGCTCGCGCTCACAAGGCCAAGATCCCTTGCAAATTACGCGGGATTCACGCTCCGAGGGCCAAGATTCATTGTAATTTACGATGGATGTTCGGTCCCAGGGCCACGAGCCCTCGTAAATTACGCTGGGTTCGCGCTCCCAATGCCAATACCCCTCATAGGTTACGCTGGATTCGCGCTCCCAGCGCCAAGATCCTTCGTGAATTACACGGAGTTCGCGCTCTCAGTGCCAAGATCCTTTGTGAACAACGCTGGGTTCGCGCTCCCAAGGCGAAGATCGTTGTAACTCATACGGGATTCACGCTCCCAGAGCCGCAATCCCTCGTAAATCATGCTAGCTTCGCGCTCACAGGGCCGCGATCCCTCGCAAATTACGCTGGATGCACGCTCCCAAGGCCAAGATCCATCGTAAATTGCGCTGCGTCCGCGATCCCAGGGCCCCCGGGGGCATCCTTGGGCGTCCAGGTTCCTGGAAGTCTCCAAAACAAGTGTTTCGCTCGAGACATCCTCATCAAATTCTGCAGAACGAGCGTTTCGCTCAAGACATCCGCAACAGACTAACCATCTAAATTTATTTTGTTATTTATCGAGCAGAAATTCAACAACTCGCGTTTCGCTCGAGACGTCCTCACAATTCAATTCCGCCGGCCCACCTCGGCCTCGTTATTTACCGCGGAAAGCTTCCGCTGGCCCACCTGAAGTCGAATCCGAAGGTAAACCTAGAGAACCCTGGACCCACGCCCTTTCCGGGAAAAATCAGATCTTATCTCGGCATTTACCGCGGAACAATTTCGCCGGCCCTACGCAAGTCGAGGCCAAAGGGAAACAACCAAACGAGAACCATGGGCCCACGCCCTTTCCGGGAACCTAAAGAGAGCCCTGGGCCCACGCCGTTTCCGGGAACATGAGGATTAGAAGAGAATTAGACGAACTACAAGTAGCCATCGCAGCACTACGAATGACCGTCATAAGACACACATGGATATTGACAGGGTGAAGCGAGCATAAAGGCACAATATGATGGAGTCAGCATACTGGAATGGGAAGGGTGACGGGGATGGGGACGGAAAACAGGAAGGAGTGCAGGGTGCAGAGAAAGCACAAAGAGGTCACGGGGCCAAGGCCGACGAAGGACCACACCGAGAGGCCCGAGCACGCCGCAACACCGAAGCACCGAATGACCGACGGGGGCGGGAAGGGAAGGAGGGGGGCGGATGGATAAATGGCTTGCCCGTGTTTTGATCGAAGCTGCGGGCTCGAGTAGCTGCATTCTCTGCGGTGAACGGCTGAAGCAAATCCGCCGGCCCCCTTGTGGGGCCACCAGGCTGTAGGAGCGGGATTCGCAGTTTCCTGCACCAGTTGTAGCTTATAGTTTCCAGTGTTACAGTTCTGCTTATTGCTGGTTACTGTAACTAGTTGATTGACCGCGCGGGGGGGGGGGAGGCCCAAACCATATTTTTAGCACCCCCTGGGCGCGTTGTCTGAATTGCTGGAGGGGCTCGAAATCGAAACCCCTCATGCAGATCCGCGGGGTCAGGGTCCAAAAACACATGGGATTTGCCACATTTCTGAAATTCGGTGCCACCCCTCACGCAGATCCGCGGGGTCAGGGTCCAAAAACACATGGGATTTGCCACATTTCTGAAATTCGGTGTCACCGCTCACGCAGATCCGCGGGGTCAGGGTCCAAAAACACAGGGGATTTGCTACATTTCTAAAAATTCGGTGTCACCCCTCACGCAGATCCGCGGGGTCAGGGTCCAAACACACAAGGGATTTGCTACATTTCTGAAATTCGGTGCCACCCCTCACGCAGATCCGCGGGGTCAGGGTCCAAAAACACAGGGGATTTGCCACATTTCTGAAATTCGGTGCCACCCCTCACGCAGATCCGCGGGGTCAGGGTCCAAAAACACAGGGGATTTGCCACATTTCTGAAATTCGGTGCCACCCCTCACGCAGATCCGCGGGGTCAGGGTCCAAAAACACATGGGATTTGCCACATTTCTGAAATTCGGTGCCACCTCTCACGCAGATCCGCGGGGTCAGGGTCCAAACACACAGGGGATTTGCCACATTTCTGAAATTCGGTGCCACCCTTCACGCACATCCATCGCAAGGCGTGGTAACCCAAACTGCGAGAACTCCCTCGGCCCTTTAATCGCAAGGTGTGGTAACCAAGCCCGTAAACCATACACGTCTTACCAATCGCCAGGTGTGGTAACCCCTCTTGTGATCAGTTGGTTTTGCTGATTGCGAATCGGCTTCGCGTGAAGTTTCGATACTGCTTCACGACAGCGCCAAGGCCTCATGACTTAGCTCTTCAATGGCCCATTCTCCGAGAGAGGGGGCCGGCGGCAGGGGGCGAAGCCCTTACGGATAATTCACGCAGTCTTTGTTTTCAAGACTACGGAACTTCGGGGCCCTCCTCAGGAGATTGGTCCAGAGTGAAAAAGATAGAGATATAGTTATTGAGAGATAGAAAGAGAGAGAAGGGGGGAAGAGAAGGAACAATGCCGGATCTCCTACGACCCTTGGATTTCCTGCTGCCAGTGACCCTGTGGCTTTGCCAATAAGCAATGAGCAGGGAGGAGGGGAAGGAGGGACAGAAAAGCAGGAGGAATGCGGAACAGCTAGAGGAAGAACACACGGCATAAATATAAGCTTTTGGAGGTACGCGCAGACTTCTTGGATCGGCGCCTGAAACCCCCTCACTGACGAGCGGAGAACGCCAGGGGCGGCGCCAGAGGCGCCGCCAGGGAATCCAAGCACCGACTCAGGAAATCTTGGGCCCCGGAATTATCAGGGATGACTGCGGTCCGGGGCAACTCCGGTTTGGGCATCCGAGCCGCGAATATGTCTATCTGACTGCCCCACATCCCCGATGATTCGGGAGGGTTGGACGCCCGAGTTATCTGGGATAACTGGGATCCAAGGTAACCCTGGTTTGGAACCCCGAGGTGCGAATCTGTAGCTACCCCTGACTGCCCCCGGCCCCGATGACTCGGGGCTCTGAAAATCCACGCAGAACTCCGAACATTTATGGCGGAAATGCCGACCGAGACTTGCTCATTCAATGCCTCTGCGGGAACAAACACACATACCGATACCCCTGCTCCGTGGACACCCCAGGATGTCCTCTAAAGGCCCCCAAGAGGCCACCAAGGAGCCCCAACATGCTCCCAAGAGGCCCCAAGAGACTCCCAAGAGGCCCCGACCCAAAACTGCTCCCAAGAGGCCCCCGAGAGCGCCCCGAAGAAATGTCCCTCAGAACTCTGACCCACAACCCAGGCACGTGTCGGGATAGGCCGAAGGCCACCAGATACCGATACCCATACTCCCTGCACCTCTCCCAAGGTGCGTTCTGGCCGGAATTTCAAGGAGAATCCAGCCGTGGTGGCGAGGACCCTCCAAGACGAATGGCGACATCGTCGTTTACTCATCTGAGCCTCGATTGCTCCGTGCTCCTGGGCGCATCATCGCTCTAAGTGCGTGCTCCCAAATCGCTCTTCGCGGCGGTGTCCTCCGGCTCGGTGCCGTCGGGTGTTCTCACCCCGAGCGTGAATTTGATTTCGCGCTTCACAGCCCGCAACCACATCTGCAGCGCCACGTCGAACCCCAACGCCTTGGGGGGGAGGGTTTTTTGCACGGTCCTGGCCCCTCCTGTACGTCCTGCTGCTGGCTTCGCTCGTGCTCCTACCGGGAGGAATATGAAGCTGCATAGCCATAAACTTTCGGAGGCCCGCGAAGATTTCTTGGAATGGCGCTGACGCGCGGAACACGCCAAAGACGGCGCCGGTGGCGCCGCAAGAAATCCGCAAGGACCTCCGAATGTGCATGCTTGTACAATGCTCTCTTCTTTGCCTTCTCCGGGTTGTGCTGCCGCTACCGCTGCTGATGCCCTGCCAAGCAGCACTGTCGTCTTGGTGGCGTTGGATCTTTCCCGAGGCCAGGAACACAAAATGCAGGGAGACGCAAAGCAGTGTTAGGCATGTCAGATGACCTCATGCGCCAGGAAACTCCAGAAAAGTATATGCAAAACCACGCAGAGCCCCCTCTCCGTTTCATTCCATCTCCGCCCTCCCTCTCCCACTCGCACCCCTCCTCGCACTCTCGGGTGCGCCGGGGCATCGAGATAAAGCCCGAGTGTTACAAACCTCCTCCCACTGGCGTCAAAATGTCCGACACCTAATGAAACATGATCGACCCACGGACCAGGAAAGGGATGTATAAATGTGAAGCATGGCGACGTTTTCAAGACACCTGATCGGGCGACAAGCAATTGCAATGCTGAATGGATCGATCTTGATGTCCCGTGCCAAGGTCTGTGGTGCTGTGCTGTGCCGTGCTGAACTGCGATGTGCTATGCCGCGATTGTGCTCTATAGCGTTGTGGATCGAGTCCTCCTCGGCATTTGAGTCCTGACCGAACTGATCTGGATCTTAAGCTCGAGCTGCCTGAGAACATAGTAGCTGCCCCGGAGCTAGTTGAGGTGGAAAAGAGAAAGACGTTCAATCAACTCGACCTCAAAATCCGACTCAGCTCCGAAAAGGAACGACACGACACGGGGCACAAGCTCACGGACGCGCCACGGGATGTGCCAGGGGCGCAATAGGGGATGCGCCAGTGAACGTGTCAGGGGACGCATCAGGGAACGTGCCCTGGACGTGCCAGGGACATGCCACGGGACGTGCCAAAGTGCGTGCCATGGGCGGCCAGAGGACATCATGCCAAGGGACATTGCAAGGGGCCCGCCACGGAACAACGGGCAGGAGAAACGCCTGGGGACGAGCAAGGAAACGCGACAGAGGACAAGCCAGGGAACGTGCCACGCCGAGTGGCGTGCTAGGGGACATGCCAGGGCACGTCACGCCAGAACGTCGCAAGGAACGCACCAGGGGGCGCGCCAGGGCGCCAAGGGACGCCCCACGGACGGGCGGGGTTGGACTGCGACGCATTCCACTGCGACAGGCGTTTCGCTCGAGACATTCTCAACAAATCCTCATGCTAGACATCCGCCTGGGCGATCTGGACACGTGAAACCATGCATCTCGCTCGAGACATTCTCAACATCTTCTCATGCTAGACATCTGCCTGAACGACCTGGGCACGTGACAACAAGTGCTTCGCTAGAAATATCCTGCCCAACTCCTCATGCTAGGCATCCGCCTGGGCGAGCTGGACACGCGAAAACAAGCGTCTCGCTCAACACATCCTCAACACATCCTCATGCTAGATATCTGCCTGGGCGACCTAGACAAGCGGAAACAAGTGTCTCTCTCTGTCTCCCTCTCGAGGCATCTTCAACGCATCCTCATGTTAGACATCTGCCTGGGCGACCTGGACACGTGAAACCAACCAATTCGCTCAACACATCCTCAACACATCCTCATGTTAGACATCCGCCTGGGCGACCTGCGCGAGAAACCAAGCGTCTAACTCGAGACATCCTCATGTTAGACATCCGCCTGGGCGACCTGGACAAGCGAAAACAAGCGTCTCGCTCAACACACCCTCAACACATCCTCATGCTAGACATCTGCCTGGGCGACCTGGACAAGCGGAAACAAGCGTCTCGAGACATCCCCAACACATCTTCATGTTAGACATCCGCCTGGGCGACCTGGACACGTGAAACCAACCGTTTCGCTCAACACATCCTCAACAAATCCTCATGCTAGACATCCGCTTGGGCGACCTGGACACGTGAAACCAAGCGTTTCGCTTCACACATCCCCAACACATCTTCATGTTAGACATTCGCCTGGGCGACCTGGACACGCGATCTCTCTCTCTCTCTCTCTCTCTCTCTCTCGAGAGAGAGAGAGAGACATCCTCATCAAATCCTCATGCTAGACATCTGCCTGGGCAACCTGGACGCGTGAAACCAAGCGTCTCGCTCGAGACATCCTCAAGGTCTGAGCACGTGCAAACAAGCATTTCACCGGAGACATCCTCCCAATTCTGGTCGCGAGGAGAGGAACGATCTATAGCAACAAATATGCGTTTCGCTCGAGACATCCTCAACACATTATGCAAAACAAGCGTTTCGATCCAGCATGCGAAAATGCTTACTTTACCTTGTACTTTATCGATTGGAATTTTAGAAAACAACGTTTCGCTAGAGACATCCTCAACTGTTTGATTAGCCGGCCCTCTTCGATTTCATTATTTATCGCAGATCAAATTCGCCGGCCCACCTCAAGTCGAGGTCAGGGGGGAACCATCTAAAAGAAAACCTTGGGCCGGCGCCCTTTCCGAGAAACATGATCGACCCACAAGCCCGGAAAGGGATATGGAAATGCGAGGCATGGGGGCATGGCAACGTTTTCAAGACACCTGATCGGGCGACGGGAAATTGCAATGCTGAGTGTATCGATCTTGGTGTACCGTGCCCAGGGCGGTGCTGTGCTGTGCCGTGCTGAACTGCGATGTGCTATGCCGCGATTGTGCTCTATAGCGTTGTGAATCGAGTCCTCCTCGGCATTTGAGTCCTGACCGAACTGATCTGGATCTTAAGCTCGAGCTGCCTGAGCACGTAGTAGCCGCCCCAAAGCTAGTTGAGGTGGAAAAGTGGAAGGCGTTCAATCAACTCGACCTCAAAATCCGACTCAACTCCGAAACGGAACGACACGACACGGGGCACAGGCTTACGGACGCGCCTCAGGATGTGCCAGGGGCGGTATAGGGTATGCGCCAGGGGACGTGTCAAGGGACGCATCAGGGGACGTGCCCTGGACGTGTCAGGGACCTGCCACTGGACGTGCCAAAGTGCGTGCCATGGGGCGGCCAGAGGACGTCATTCCAAGGGACGTTGCAAGGGGCCCGCCATGGAACGGGCAGGAGAAACGCCTGGGGACGAGCAAGGAAACGCGACAGAGGTCGAGACAGGGAACGTGCCACGCCGAATGACGTGCTAGGGGACGTGTCAGGGCACGTCACGCCTGAATGTCGCAAGGGACGCGCCAGGGGGCACGCCAGGGCGCCAGGGGACCGTCCACGGACGGGCGGGTTGGACTGCGACGCACTCTATTGCGACAAGCGTTTCGCTCGAGACATCCCCAACAAATCCCAATGTTGGACATCCGCCTGGGCGACCTGCACGAGAAACCAAGCGTCTCGCTCGAGACGTTATCAACACCTCCTCATGCTAGATATCTGCCTGAGCGACCTGGGCACGGTAAATCAAGCGTTCCGCTCAATACATCCTCAACACATCCTCATGCTAGATATCCGCCTGGGCGACCTGGACACGCGAAAACGAGCGGTTCGCTCGAGACATCCTCCGACCATCCTCATGTTAGACATCCGCCTGGGCGACCTGGACACGTGAAAACTAGCGTCTCTCGAGAGACATCCTCAAGAGATCCTCATGTTAGACATCCACCTGGGCGACCTGGACACGCGAAAACAAACATTTCACTCAACACATCCTCAACGCATTCTCATGCTAGACATTCGCCTGGGCGACCTGGACAAGCGGAAACAGGCGTCTCCCTCGAGACATCCTCATCCTCATGCTAGACATCTGCCTGGACGACCTGAACGCGTGAAAACAAGCGTATCGCTTGAAAGATCCCCACCACATCCTCATGCTAGACATCTGCCTGGGCAACCTGGACACGTGAAAACAAGCATTTCACCGGAGACATCCTCTGACTTCTGGTCCCCAGGAGAGGAACGATCTATAGCACAAAACAAGCGTTTCGCTCGAGACATCCTCAACACATTATGCAAAATAAACTTTTCGTTTGAGACATTCGCGACTAACGAAAATGCTTGCTTTATCTTGTGCTTGATCGGTCGGAATTTCACAAACCAGCGTTTCGCTCGGGACATCCTCGCATGTTAATTCGCCGGCCCTCTTCGACTTCGTTTTTTATAACAATTTAAATTCGCCGGCCCACCTCACGTCGAGGCCGGGAGGGAACAACTCACAGAAAACCCTGGGCCTAAGCCCTTGCCAAGAACATGATCGACCCACGAATCCGGAAAGGACTATAGAAATGTAACGCATGGCAGCGCTTTCAAAGACACTGGATTGGGTGACGGGCAAACGCAATGCTGAGTGTATCGATCTTGATGTACCCTGCCAAGGGCTGTGCTGTGCTACACCGTGCTGAATTGCGATGTGCCATGCCGCGATTGTGCTCTATAGCTTCGTGAATCGAGTCCTCCTTTGCATCCGAGTCCTGACCGAACTGATCTGGATATTAAGCTCGAGCTGCCTCAGCACATAGTAGCTGCTCCAGGGCTAATTGACAGGGGGACATGCCAGGAGGACGCGCCGCGGAACGTCCCAAGAGACGCGCCAGGCGACGTGCCAGGGGACGTGCCATGGGCACGCACCGCGGGACGTGCCAAGGGGACGCGCTACGGAACGTGCCAATGGATGTGCTACGGGATGTGCCAAGGGACGCGCTACGCGACGTGCCAGGGGACTCGCCAAGGGACGCCCCACGAAACGTGCCAGGTTGCAATGCTGAATGTATCGATCTTGATGTACCGTGCCGACGGCTGTGCTGTGCTACGCCGTACTGAACTGCGATGTGCCATGCCGCGATTGTGCTCTATATAGCGTCGTGGATCGAGTCCTCCTTTGCATCCGAGTCCTCACCGAACTGA